GGTCGTTTGACCCCAGTGCTCTTCCTGCTGTGGCAGGGGGTCGGACTAGATGATCTGCTCAGGTCCCTTCCGACCGTAGAAACTATGAAACTATGAAACCTTCTTCTTTGCCTGTCCTTCAGATCGTGTCATTCCTGGCTTCACCCTTCAGAACTCTCCAGTAGCTGCCTTATGTAATGCATCAACTTCAGGCTTCTTCTGTTGATCTTCATAGCTCTGTACCTCACTACTTTCCAGCAGCTCGGTTCCTCCAGGCAGCTCTGGGGTCCTCAGTGGTTTGGGGGCAGCGGGTGGCCTTGGGGGTCTGTGAGAAGGGCTGTCCCTCAGAAGGGTCCTCCTTGGGACTGCTGTGGTCTGGGAGGCATCACCGCTGAGGGCCTGCTGTAGTTGCCAAAGGGCCGTGGGGGACCAGAGGGGTCTGCCGTTGCTTGGGGTGCTCCACCGTCATCCGGGGGGCATTCTCAGGATTCGGGGTCCTCCACCAGGCCTTGCCTGTCCTCATGTTCACTCCTCCAAGTACAACAAATGGGTCAGCAACCTATGGCCCCACAAGGCAGATGCAGCCCATAAAGGTTCAATCCAGTCTGTGTTTTAGTAAGGGCACGCAAATCCCCAGCCATTTAATCTGGTCCAAGTTTTTCTAATGGCATAGTGATTGCCTCTGGCCACTACAGCCAATTGCTCCAGCTTGCCTGAAGTGCTGCTGTCCCTCACTGCAGTCTAAGATCAGTGGCAAAAGCAGCTGGAAGGAAATGGTGGGCTGCAGTGCTGATCCAGTCACAAGCTGTGGCCCACATGAGTAAAAGCCTGCAGGCAGCCTAAGCAGCCATTTAAATCGGGCAAATTACAGTAGCTGCTTGCTGGAGCCAACCGATTTTTCAATATTAAAAGTACCACTTAACTGAATTATGTGTGCTGGTTAATTCATGCAGGAATAGCATGGGCTCAGCTGCTCACAAATTACTAAGGCCAGTTACTTTGTTATTCACACTGTTTTAGGCATCTAATAGAAGCCTAACATTTGGCAGGCTGCAGTCATTTTTCTGGCTCAGAACAATACAGCAAACTGGTTGAATGGTGTCCACTGTGCATGTTGGGCAATTCTTGATTGCTAATTGAGCCTGCTATATGTAGCCTAAACTGTGCCATTTTCATGCCTTCTTCCATGCCTACTGTGTCCATGGAACTCTGTCTCTGAATAGCTCTATAAAGCTAGCAGTTTCTCCTCTTTTAAAGCTAAGATAGCTTCTGTGAAATTGGTGGGACTTCCAGTTATGCTAAGCCATGGTTAAACTAAAGCTCTAAGATTGAGCTTGGGAAGAACAGGCCTCTCTGACTGCTGAATGACCTGATAAGCACTGTAGAAAAAACACACTAATAAGCAGGGAAGTTGATACAAAAAAAAAGGAGTACGAGAAGCAAAATAAAATTAATAAGGACAGGTGTTGAGATAAGAGAAGAAATGAAGAGGTGAGCTTGCAAAAAGTTAATTAAAAATAGCTATTTTAGCAAAGGACAGATAAATATTGGTATGAAATAATTGTTTCTTTGTAGCAACCTAGGGGAGTGTAATTTACACATGGTGTTGCTATCATTGTCCCAGGAAATTCTTCTGAGTCCGGCGGATTACTAAAGAGACCGGGTAGTGTACTGTCAAAGTGACAATAACCCCCTCCATGCTTTTTGCCACTGAACATGAATTTAAGTCTTCCTTTCTGCATCACACCTAGACTTCAGGAGGCCACTTGCTAGCACTGAGACCACAGAGACCCAAGCAGCCTGAACGCTGAGAATGACAACAGGCAAGAGACAACCCAAACTCACACCTCAGAACAATATCATCTACCAAAAAAATCAGTTACTTGTAATAATGAATACAGTAAAGCAGAGATGGCAAACTCATCCATCCCCACAGACTGGATGGGTGGTGTGCAGCCAGTCTGTAGGCCCATTCCCTTTCCCTGTCCCCCAGCATACTTGATCCGGTGGCTGCTCCATCCAGTCTGGGACCTGAGCTGCACGTGGTGTGGATTATGGGTGGCCGGAACAGATGCCACATATGGGATAGTCTGGCCAGAGTGGCACTCACGCTGCATGCAGTGGACACCACAGCCAGACTGCACCACAGGTGGTTCACCCCAGCAGTTCTGGTACTGTGCCAAATGTGCACACTCCAGCAAGTCTAGGACCCACATTGCACGCAGCATCTATGAGCATCATGTGCAGCATGGGTCCTGGACTGGCTAGAGCAACTGCCGTGTGCAGCATGCGTCCCAGAGTGGGTGCCACGTGTGGTGCCATCTTGCCAGGATAACTACCTCATGCATCATGGCTGGTGCTCCAACTGGATTGTGCCGCTTGCAGCATGGGTCTCAGACCAGTGGAGTAGCCACTAGATCAGGGATGCTGGGGAAGGGGGAGGGGTCCATTGGCCCAATCTGGCCTGCAGACTGGCACCACATCACAGGTGCATGCTGTGCCCTATGTGGGTTTAATTGGACCCAGAGGAAGCACTGGGGGCTGGATAGGGGTCTTCATGGATTGAGCTGTATGTTTGATACCCCTGCAATGAAGTATGGCTGACTTGTCACTACCACCTTATTTGTCAGTGCACTTAAGTCCCAGGCAGGAGTTGTACTGATTTATACACTTTAGATAATCAGTCACCTGTTTAAGCACAATTCATCATTTCCAAAAGATATATGCGTAGAAAATCACTATAGCAATTTATATTGATGATTCATCAATTTTAAAAATGTATAGTAGAGCCTGGATCATTTGTATCCAGGCGATTCACAACCCACTCAGTTTGCAATGTGGTTGCTGAATTCAAGAGAAGCAGTACAAATGATTTCATTTCAGAGGGTGGTACTCTTTGTCTCTTGATGTAATATGCAGAATAAAGTTAGGTAATAATGACTATGAATGACTAATTATCTCACAAAAAGTTGGAAATATGGCCAAATATGATTATTAGTTGCTCATGGATAATTTAGTCATTGCTATTCATCCTCTTGGAGTGACTACTTAGCCATATTTTACTGTAGATTTCTGAATACTTGATCCTAAATGTGTATTTATTCTATAATAATACCATAACAGATACATTCACTAACTACCATCTGGTCTTTTCTTTCTGCTGTCTGGCTACTGTTACATATCTAAAAGTGCCTGAATGATTTATTTTTTCAACTACCTGTCCCCGATTATAGAATATACTAAAAAAAATCTGTTTGTGTGTAATAGCAAATGAAACAATTAAGCAGAATTAATACAAATTCCTGTTTTTGTCACACAATATCTGCATATGTTATGAACAGTTAATGACCATTATTTTTGTGTGTTTTTCTACAGATCGTTCCCGAGAAGCATTGGAGCAGTTAGTTGGACCAAACAAAATCAAGCAAGTGACATGGACTGTGTATTGATTTAGTGTAAGGGTCACAGATGGTATAGCTTTTTCAGGAAATTACCTCTTCTGGGGAACAGATTATATTCTGGTGACTGGTACTTTCTCTCACCAGATTGCTTCATTCTCTCTCTCTCCACTAGAGGTCTCTGTTACCATCCAAGTGATTTCAGGTCCCAGGCTCCTGTATCAATGCCTTGTTATTTGGTATTTTCTTTAATTAAAGCACCATCTTTCTTTACATCACAAGATGGATCATATTTCATTAAAAAGACACTTTGAAATTAATATTTATATTAGGAAAAATGCCTTGGAGCCTCAGGCAAAGGCCAGACTCCACTGTACAAACGTGATGCAGTCCCTGCCCTAAAGAGCTTACAATCTAAGTGCTTCCCTCCAGATACTTAGGCTGCCTATACACATGCTCAGGGGTGTCAGGGAGTGTTTTAATTAGAGCGGTTCCCAGAGAGCCACTCTAATTAATTAAAATGGCTCACCATCATGTGCATTAAGCCTCCGCAGGTTTAAAAATGGCCACAGGATGCTTTATCTAAACCTCATTTGACAAGGTTTAGATAAAGTGCCCCAGCAGCTGTTTTAAACATGTGGAGGCTTATAAACATGACGGTGAGGCCACGCTGGAGAGTACTCATTAGAATGTAGAACAGGCTCAATCAGTCTGCTCTGGCATGTTCTAATTAGAACGTGAGCCAGCATGTGTCTAGGCAGCCTTTATGTCTACATACATGAGGAGTTCCCTCATAAGTTAATAGCATTACTCACAAGCATAAAATATCTGCTTTTTTACAGGATCAGAACCAAAGTTTATGACAAAATACAGCAGATAGTGCAGGTAAAGAAAGGGGGAAGTAATAGAAAAACACACATGGCCTTCATAATGACAGCTAGTTTCAGTTCATCACTTTCTCAACTATTATATTCCTGTTTTTATTGGTAGGTGTTATTCATGCTGTTGCTTTTCACTTTGTTTAACCACCATACACTTACCTGGATTTTTAGGCAAGAATCTTGTGGGGGAGATCTTTTATTGACCAACTACATGGCTGACATAAACAAAGGCAAGATTTTGGGTATCGTGGTACCCTTCCACAGGCCTCTGGATTTTTATAAGCCCAAAAACATAGCCCGTGAGCAGATAAATACCACGAGAATTTTAAGATAGCTTAAACTTAAGTATAATAGTGATGACTTAATGAGATCTCTGAATATCAGCAGATAGCCAGTTCTTTTAGCTTTTATCAGCATTCATTTATGGAAGTGCTGAGATGGAAAGATAGGCCCATCCCAGTTCTGAGGTGTAACTGAACAGAAGAATTGGAACCTGGATTTAGTATTGTCTTTGACTCTCTGCCACCCCCACATCAGTCTAAATCAGCACAGTGTGTGTTCCACAGTATGTAATTTAGTTGAACCTCAGGCCCCCTGAAAAATCTATACAGTCATTAAGATATTGTTTGACCTTGAATTTCTAAAAATACATGTAACTCCAGGAATTTTAATTTTCAGTGTTATTGGTTTAGGATTACCTTATCACATGGTCCCTCAGGGTCTTCTGATGTTTTGCAATTGTTATGCTGATTTCTGTCCCCTGTGGTCTATTAGAGTGTATGTGTTCTTGTGTATGTTCAGTGGGTATGTATTAAACTTTACCTAGCAAATGGTGGTAATTCTGTGCTATACAGAGGGTATTTGAATGCCCTGCATTACTATTCTGCTTTAGGAATATCTATATTTAAATTGGGTGGCCAGGAATTCTGTAGAATTTGTGACTATTGACAATATTTAAGTTTAGGTAACACTAAGGAGCAGATTTACTTTTTAAAAGCCAGCATTGTAACAACCCAGATTTATGTTAAGCTGTTCACTCCACCATAAGTAAAAATAGTCTTCTATCTATCTTTTCAGAACTCTGGTTAAACAAAGTAAAGGTAAACCTCTAAACAAAATGAGACATTAAAATGTGTTGCACCTCACAAACATGTATAGCTTGTTGCAGTGTCAACACTTATCTCCACTCCTGTGTTAGTTACACAGGTTATAGAAAATAATGTTCAGGCAGGTTTACCGAATGATGTGTACATTTTTGAGCTAGGTTGCTTAAAGCTGTATTCCTCCAAATCAGTGCTACGGCCTTATCTAGAGTGATGACTTGCTTTAATTGCAACCACAGGTAAAACTGCATTAGTGCAATTTAATATTGCAGGCAGGCAGAGCTGCAGTTTGCTCTAATGCAGCAAAACCAGTGTTAGCAACTGGGGCAACTGCCTTGTCTAAACAAAGAAAGTTTCAGTCAGCATTAAGGCCCCTGTCGCTTAAACACCTAAAAGATCCATTAAGCATTCTGCTTCTAGCCTACAGGTAACTTACTACCCTGGCACGCTGAAATCCTGTTATTAGTTCAGGCCAGTTACTCCCTAAGCTATTGAGGCTGGTGCACAGTAGACGTACTTTACACTGCACCTCTGCTGAACCCTCTCCACTGATTAAAATGCAGCACTGACAGGCTCAAGATGTTTAGTCAATAAGGCACAAGCATCTGTGGTTGCATAAACCAGGGTGCCCAAAAGAAAAAAACAGCTACAGTGTAACTATTGCAAGAACGCTGCTTCACCTGCCCCTGAGCCAGAGTGGAAAGATGTACTATAGTACCCTAAGGATGGACAGCATAAAGTATAAGGCAGCCAAAAATGGGAGTTCCTCATAGCTCTAACAAAGAAGCAGTGATTTGCAGGGAAGGGAAAATGTATTTGTTCCTAGTGCCACAGAAATGCTGTTAACTTTTCTGGATTTGATTTGGAATTGTACACTACTCTTTCTTCTGCTAACTGAGTTGTATGTCATGCTGAAGGGTGATACAGCTTACATTCACCTTTGAATTTTGCATGCAGCTGTTTTGTTGTCTGTTAACCACTTCTAGAATATTCGACTTAGTGGGATATTCTCAACTTGTTTTATACATAAATGCCTACACACTGAGATGAACAAATCTCCTTGAATGACATCTCCCTGTCCTTAGGGTTCTTCTTTGAAAGCTTGATGTGTCATTTGCATTTTCATCTCTGGAGCTTGATTCTGATCTCATGAGGATTTGTTTTGAGGGGTTTTTTATTTTGGGGGTGTTTTTTGCAGTGTAACTCCACTGCCTTCAGGAATGATTCTTTATTTAAAATCAGGCTTCTTGTGTTTGCAAATGTAAGGTGGAATGGAAAAATAGCATACTAGTATGCACCATATGAAGATGTAGTTAATTCTTCATGTTATATAGTACTTCTAGTTATTGTCCCTGTTGTATATTGTTGAGTAACACACTGTGAAGATGAGCACTGCATGTATGTATTTGTGAGTATTTATGTGTTGTTTTGAAAATCAAAACCAGTAAATCTTTAAACTGGACTGAGTTGGCAAGTTTATGTCTGTAAGCTACTCTGACTCCACTCAAAAGGCTTCTCTCGTACACCTACACACACTTTCAGCCCTCTTTTTAAACTGTCATTTGTAGTTACTATTTGGAAGCTTGAAATTGAAACCTTTTTCCTCTTTCAGCTATAAATCCTTCATGGCCTTGCCTAGTGGGGCAGGGGGTTGGACTCGATGATCTTCTGAGGTCCTTTCCAGCCCTAATGTCTATGAAATCATCATAGAGTTGCTCATTAGAGCTGGGCTGCTTTGAAAATTCCCTTTCAAGTTGGTATGTCAGCAAATACTTCCCAATAGGTCAGGTTGCTTCCTTGCAAACTGTCGAGAAGCTACAGCTGTCAAGGAGAAAAGCATGGTTGTAGACCTGCCACTTCATCTTTGGCCAAAAGTTTCTTTAGGTTTTCCAGGGGAAAAGATTTCCTGGGAAAAAAATATTATGCCTAAGACCACTTTATTGCAGAATAACTGAAGAGTTAATTTCAAAGACAAAAACAGTTTACCATCAATCCTAAAACATAGTAGACCAGTCTTTCTACCTTGACCCTAGCCTGAAAAAAAGATAGCACTGAGGCATTCTGCAGTAATATTAAAATGCTTAGTAAAAGGACCAAATCATTCTTACTCCGGTACATTCGGCCTAGGGACAGGGAGACGGAAAGAATTTTATGTCCAATTAGATATGAAATTGCATAATTGAAATTATTAATGATTTCTGTTATCTTAGCAGGAAAGAGTCCCAGTCACAGACTAGGACCCTGCTGCTGTGGTACTGTACAAACACCGAACAAATATATGGTGCCTGCCCAAACAACTTACAGTCTGAGTACAAAGAGGAAATAAACCTCACAGGAACTGTAGGCATACTGCTGGATTGACTTCTATCTTAGGCCAAAATAACCTAAGCATGGGCAAAGGAAATTTGTGAAGCAGCCACATAGACAAGAATACTTATCTTCACCGGCCACACACAATTGGATTCTGATCAGTTTTGGAAAGCTGTAGTGAAACCGCTATTCTGCTTGACTATACACTGGATTTCTATGGCTCCTCACAGACATTAAAAAAAAAAGGGGTATTTTAAACTCAGTGTGCTCCTGCACCAAGCCAAGCACGTGTCCAGAAGAGGTGGTGCATTAGTTGGATCTAGCTCGCCTGACATCTGTATAAATCAAGCGCTTTAATGGGCTTTTGTAGTGCTTTTATCGAATAGCTGATTGAATCAACTTCAGCTAAAAGTACCAAAAAAGCCCCGCTAAAGTGCCCAATCTATATAGATGCTGCAGAGCCGAGCTGAAGTAACGCACTGATCCTTCTGGTAAAGTGTGATTTTTCTTGTTCTTTTTTTTTTTAATGTCTGCAAGTAGCCTATTATCCTAGCTGCTCTCTGACGCAGCTCCTCCCTCTAACTCTTTTGTTTTATTACATCCTAAGCAGAAAGGTCAGTGAAACGGCTGTCTCAAGGGAAAAAAGAAATTACCTGTAATCTTTTTTTCTCTGTGACAGATACCCATCAACCCTGCCCTTCCTGTGTATTCAGAGGATATGGACAAAGAAGTTTGTTTTTCAAAATCCACATGAATTAGCCTCTAATCATATTACTGTTTAGTTCACAATCAGTTCAGTTTATTAATCAGATTAGTCATTTTAGCTCTGGCCAAATGAAGAAGTGAGTTCAGGACCATGCAATGTTCTTGACTGACAGTCCTGGCTGCCTCAGCAGATTCAAGGAAGGTACCAGGATACAGACATATAGTTTGGAATGAGATGGGAAGAAAAGTCTGATTAGTTACATGGACAGTCACAAGGAGATATAAAGAATAAGAGGAGGATACATTTGGACTTCCCCAGGTCAGTCCAGGTTCTCCCCAACTATATAATGACCTAACAAACTCACATGTTCAGTTTTAAGAAGCCTAATGTTGATTTTTTCAGTGTATGTGAATAAGAAACACACATGAGAGTAGCGTGCCTACCTACAAGACAAATAAAGTTTTACAGTGGAAATCTTAAGAAATATTAAATGACATGTTTTGTGACAAAGAGGCTAGTACATTTATCATATAAGCAAAATGATGGATCTAAAACTGCCTTTGGACGTGCACTTTGATGGAGGCCTGTGTGCATATCCCAGAGTGAAATTTACCTGCAAGCTTTTCCCCGAACTAGGGGACAAATCTTCCATTGTTCTAAGCTGAAGTAGTGGTAATGACTTCCATAGAACTAGACCAAGTTACATTAGCCAAGGATCTGGCTTATGTTCTTTCTTCACATTTTATAAATATAGAATACTCCCTCCCATAACCCCCCACCAAGTACAAGCTCTTTCCACCTTTAGCAGCCTTTGAAGAAACTGTGAGTCAAGGCTGGTAACTCCAGACAATGCTTGATGTTAATCCATTGTTCTCCCGTCTAGTTGGCTCAGGAAGTGAATATTCTATTACTTTGTGCAGCTGACGGTGAATGCTGTGGCCTGTGAACTGAGGCCTCCCGGGGTCGCCGATCAGAACTTTAGTTCCATACATCTTGATGCACTTTCCCAACCAGTGATGCAGACAGTCAGCAAGATGTTCATCATAAAACATATCCCCTAACACAATGAGGTCCCACTTGTCCAGTGTTGTATCAGTGATGTTCTTAATTGCAATAGGAAAGGGATTCACATTGTTCAGTTCACAATTGATTACCATGGCCATTCCTGCAACTGAGAAAAAAATGATCGATAAGAATGAATTTAAAATGCTGTGCTTCAAACCCCTCTATATTAGTAAATTCTGAGGATTTTTCACAAGTCTTAGTTTGAATAATCTCTTTAAATATTAGTGCTATTCATATTATTTCTGCACCTTATGGTGGTAGCCTAGCACCCCACAGACACTGACACATATTGTCCCTGCAGCATTTCCATAAGGTAGGGAAGAAATGTATTCCCATTTTACAGATGAGAACTGAGGGACAGCACAGATTAAGTGACTTGTTTAAAGTCATGCAAGAAATTGAATTCAGATGTCCAACTCTCAGACCAGTGCTTTAACCATTAGGCAGCTTCTTTCTTTTTCAAAGAATAAGTAACTAACAATAAAAAAGTAGGTGGCATTTAGGAGAAAACAGGTGGTTTGAATCACTGTTAGCCAAATAGCAGCTGGAAAAATTCTGGCTAAAACATGTAAACACTTGGGCAAAGAAAAATTCTTGGTGCAACGTCACTGAAGTCAGTTATGCTAAGGATTAATCTGGCTCTCAAAGGGGCAACTCAGTATGATCCATTTAAAATAAATTTATAATAAAACTCTTGAGTCTTTTGTTCTAAAGTAAAAACAACTGAAAACAAAAGCCAAAGTTCACAGGTGGATGCCTTCAATTAGGTAGGTGTCTAGGTGTGCATATCTGGGAACATGAGGCTATAATCCATACTTCAGCACCAGAATCAAGTGCCTATAGAAGGGACTGGGATCTAAACATTCAGACATAGCTAAACTATGAACTGTTTCCTGCTTAGACTCTTAACTTTTAAATTCTCTACATCAAATTTAACTTTAACTTCTTGAGGGCTTAACTTTTCTTACAAATCAAAGGCAGTATAGTTCCGTTCGGTCTGTTTTAGAAACTGAAAAACAGTGCAGGAAATACTGGCAGCTGTAATAAGCAGAACTGACTTTTAAATACCATGATTAAAATAGGCAAGCTTGGCAGAAATGCCAAGGGATGATCAGGCATAGAATCCACCTACATATCCCCAGAGATGGCCTTCCAAAATGTTGCAAGGGACAATACAGAAAGAAGTCCGGTCTTCTATTCATGGCAATAAGACTTTTATGCAATGTGTGGCACCCTCTAGCCCTTAATGTTTGCAAATGGAGCACAACTGATCCTGCTGGAAACATAAGCATTACACACAACCATATATCTTTATAGCATTTTTCAACATGGAAACTTAATTTTTGCAACCATGTTAAAGGCAAACTATTCTTCATGCATACTTAATAACTTCCTTGTGCAGGACCTGGAAACAAGCATCTTACTAGGATCGATGTCATTAGCGAGGACATGGGATGCACCACTCATCACAGCAGCTATTGCTGTTGCTCCACATCCGCTCCCAAGATCTAATACAGATCCCATTCTGACAATATCCGGGTTATCTAAAATATATCTGAGTTAAGGAGGTAAATAGTTAAAATATCAAAAAGAAGGCTGGGCAAGTATCTATTTTCCATATGAAGTTTTCCAAGAAACTGTTTCATAGATGTAATAGTGCAGAGATTAATTCAAAAGATATCCAATACATGTAATTAATTGCACACCATCTGTCATACAGACACGTGTATGTGTGTGTGTGAGAGCATCAGAAGCCACCAGAGGGTGCACCAAGTGAGAGAAAACAAGCAACCAAAATGCTTTGTTTCAGTCAATCAGTCTCACTCTCTCAGTTGAATTAAAGTAATAAATGGATGACACCAGGAAAGTGGCTGTGAAATGTGCCACTAAAAGTAGGGAATAGGAAAGTTGTAGGTAATAAATAGTGATAAAGTTAAAACTGTTGGCTTGAGTACAGATGTTTTTAGAAGAAACTCTAGGCCTGCTGATATGCATGAGCCAGAGGCTTAAATGTGGACACCTCACCCTTGATTAGCTCCATCTGTGCCTGACTGCCGCATAAGGCTACAAGTGTAAAATCCCAGTCCCTCCGGTTCACTTGTCTGCTTCATGGCTTGCAGCCCCTCAGTTCTCCGACTGCTTCAAGGCCTTGTTTCTCCGCATCTGCATTTGCCTTGCCTCCAACTCTAACCCTCACCTTTGTCGGACTTCTCGGCTCTGACTCGTGACCTGAGCCCCAACCATTAGGACTGATTACTTAGGAGACAGGTCATTCATGCAAGTCTCACCACACATTTTATACAATAAAATGAAGCAATCATTTGGGGGTTTTTTTGAAGTCCTGTGTTGATGCTCTGCTGAAACAGCTTCTGATGAGTGACTGGGGAAATTATAAAGTAAACTAACGAGGGCCGGGGGGGGGGGGGAAGCCTCCTAATCCCCTGGGCAGTGAGTCATGTTTATTCTTGAATTGTAGGGGTTTTGGAGCAAACTGTCACATAAACTGCCATCACTTCAGAGAGGTTATGACCATTAACAACAGGCAGAAGTCCTATGCCAAGGGACTTCTTCATGCCTTCATGCTATTCTGCTGTTGGAAGGTGGACTTTACTACAATACAAGCAGTGAGAGTTTTCTGTCTATTGACTCCTCTGTGAAATCCGATGAAATATGAACTTTCATTTTTACCCAGGAGAACTTATACAATCTTCTCTCCAATGCCTGATGAAAGGTGTTTGTGCCCAAAAGCTTGGAATTACAGAAATTGTTTTGCAAAAATTTGTTGGTCTAATAAAAGATATCATGTCTACTATGAGGCCTGATTGCCTAACTCTCCTCACATACAGATGTGTGAGACTGACAAGGAGAATCTGTAGCTCTCAGGCCACCCAAAAAGGGCATGGGTGTTTATGTCAAAGCCTGGATACCCTGGAGTTGCTTGGCACCCTTCCCCAATAGCAGCATTGTCATCTCAGGAGCAACTACGATTGACAGATGGAGGGACTTCCATAGGAAGGGTGGAAGAACATGTCGCATGAATGTCTGGTTTCTCCTTTGCAAACCTTGTACTCTATTGGGGTTTGTCTGGACCCCCGCTCCTCCCTCAGCTGTGCAGGTGAAGAGAATGATCAGGCCCAGCACTTTTTTCTTTAAGTGCCCTGATTCCAACTGAGTGGTTCTCAAATTTCCTGTAATGGTCATGTGTACTTGAAAAGACAGTTGGAATCTAAATTCTACCCCAGTGTGGAAACAGGTCACATGCTGGCATTGGAGACAGTTGTCTGCCACGCTAGCTTAATAAGGCATCTCAGGTTACACTGTGCTGGGTAGTTTGCAAAGGAGAGTTCTCATGTAGTGATGGAAAGTAATTGCAGAAAGAACAAGAAGTTGTGGCAGCAGCATATTTTTCATGTGTTATCAGGTTTTCAAATAGTGCAACTAATTTCTGAAATTCCCAATTAATTCAAAACAGCAAAATAAATAATACTAAGAATCTGCTGGTGGGATTCCAGAAAATTAATTAGCATTGCTACCTAAACATTTGGGCAAAGGAGGAACCATCTGATAATGAAATGTGGAGATTCAATTAACTGGAAGACCTCATTGAATTGTGTTATCTTTAGCAGCCTTTTAACTCTGCTAAATGTCAGACTAATCATAATTTAGCTGAAAGTCCCATTTCTTCCCATTTAAAAAAAGCATTCACTTTCACTTCCTTGCAGACTGTGGGACCAAAAAAAAAAGAAAGAAAAAGAAAACCCCCCTCATCTCAACAGAAAATTACTCACGACTTTCTGCTGTTTAGAGATGAAAACTTTCTGTGTGAGAAAAAGAATACCAGCCAGTCCCTGAGAATAAGTAACAGCAAATGCATCTTGACATTATACTTCCAAACCAAAACATGGCATACCTTTTGGTAAAGGACTTCTAAGTCAGTGGTCTCCAAAGTGGGGTGCATGCACCCCAGGGGGTGCGCAAGACGATCCATTGGGATGCAGGAAAAAAATATTAGAACTTCTATTTATACAAATATACATATATTGGGGGTGCATGCTCAAAAATTTTTTACTGATGGGGTGCACAAATATACATATATTGGGGGCACGTGCTCAAAAATTTTTTACCGATAGGGGTGCGCGATCAAAAAAGTTTGGAGACCACTGCTGTAGATGACTAGAAGACTGTAAAGTAGATTAAAGAATCTGGTCCAGTTTTCTTCTATAAAAGACACAGAAACCACAGATAGCCTGACATCCCATAGCGGACTAAGCTAGCAGTCATTGTACTCTGTACCTGGATAGGGCTTGGCCTCCTGGCCAATAGATTGCCCAGAAGGGATCAGCAAAAGGCCACAAGTCGGCTCTTTCCTTCCAGAATCGGCAGCGAGGTGTCAGAAGCCGCAGTCTTATCTCTGGCGTGAGGTTTCCGCTGCTGATGACTTCAGTGTTCTCCTCCAGAAATGCTCTCACCTCAGGATCCAGGAAGTTTCCTGGTGTCCTGTAGTGGAAATGTCTCCCAAGCTGAGAGGTGCTTCTGCTGCTGGTCCCTGAAGTTTTTGTGAGGCTTTCCCTACTGCCAAAGCGTATAAACCACCTCCAGCAACAGATTGCCATGTCTCTCCCGTTGGTAAAATCCTTCCCAAGTTGAACTTAAAACTATATAGCAAAGGTTTCTTCCATGGTGTTCAGGATGGGATGGAATCTGAAACAGACTCACAAAGCTGTTTCTTTATGTAGCCCTGGATGGCAGTTCTTGAAAACAGGAGAACAATATAATATAAATGGTAATAGCAATTATTTCAAGAGCTGTAGGAATAGGCAACCAGATGAGGGCCAGAAACTTCCTTATAGCATCAAATTTGTGCCTTTTTTCCCCATGTATTTTCAGTTGTGCTTTATAGTTCCAGCTAAGGCAAACCTTCCAAATATAATTACCACTGTGTAAAATAACAGGAATTTGGGGGGTTTTTTCTTTCAGCTGGGAAATACAGTTTAAGTGAGGAAGCATTGCTCTAGTTCAGTTGTGACAGATTAAAAAAAGAGAAAAAACCCAGTGGGCTAAACCACGCTTCTGCTGAAACCTAGGGATAAAATCTTATCTTTACTTCCATAGGACTAAGACTGCTCCCCTGCCCCTCCAAATCCATACACCCACATGAGTTTAAATTACACCACCAGTATTATTGCTGTGTGTGCCAGCTAGGGGTAGATTCCCTATTTTCTTTACATCCTGGACACCAGGTAGTTATACCAAATAAATGAATGGTGGGCCCAAATCTGAGGCCCAGTCTACACTTCAAACTGTAGATGTGTTTGGGATGGGGCAGGGAGGGTAAAGTTAGATGAGGTGTGAGTTTTGACAAGCATAGCTCATAGCTGTGCCAGCAAAAGCCTCGAGTATCCAAATTTTTCCTCATCAGATTTATTTTGCTTAGACAGTGGTGGGCTGGCATCAGTGATAGTGATAAAAGCACAGTTTTGCTGCCACAACCAGGACCCCAGGAGTGCCCTGCTGGTACAATATACCAACATGGCTCTACTAGCAGCACCTTCCAAACGCACATCTGGCTTAAGGCTCTCTTACCCATCACCCTTTCTGCAGCAGGTCCTGCCATAGGGAAAGAGAGAGGCAAAAGACACAGTAAGCAAGAAAAATGGGCATTACATTGTACCCGCAGGTTGGAGACTGCAAATCCCTACTCTTAAAACTTAAAACATCCACATCAAACAGCTTTAGAGGTGAATATTACTCTCTCAGTGGTAATCTGTTCTCTGTTAGCTTTGAATCCTGCAAATCTATGAGGGGCAATAGTTGTTATTCAGGAAATGAGCCATTAAAGCCATCAAGTCCCACACAGGATTCCATGGAGAAGCAATCTCAGTGGAAGAACTAACAGGGCTGAAAGTTAAATTGAGGGGTTTTAGCATTTCCTTCCGTTCACAGCCATTGCAGGGGCCATCGAGGGCAGCACACAATGTCAATATGCGGGTCACAAATGCTCAGTTAAGTGACAGAAATGTTAATGGTGTTATGGCTGCTTTCAATTTTTTAAAAATATTTAAATTGAGATATAATTTATTCTCCAGTCAAGTATCGTGCAAAGGGACAAGCTCTCAAAAGAGAGACTTTATGGGGGGAAGGGGGTGGGGAGGGGGGGCAGTGAGTCAAAGCATAGTGCCCAAGCTGGTGGATGATCGGCTAAATAGAACAAAGTTTACCAGCTTGGACCCTGCATTTCACCATGACACCACTGAGCCATGACACCACTGATCCTATGAGGCACCTTGACCAGACCGGGCCATGGTAAGAGGGAGCTGATGATATCGCCAACTCCATAACCTTTGGTAACTTGAGCTTCCTATTCTGGATACTGCCCACAAGTACCTGCTCTTACCTCCTCCCTTGTGTCTTCAAGAAAGCAGAATCAGACTTCAAAAAAATCACTCCAACTCAGTTCCATCAATTTTCTTCTTTTCCTCCAAAAGGCCAGCTTCAGACAACATTTACCACTGGGAGAGCAGTACTAGAATACTATGCCTACATCTGGTGTCTACATTTTGGAAAGTACTTTGAAAAACCTGAAAAGGGTGCAGAAAAGAGCTACAAAGTGTATTCAAGGGCTGGAGAAAATACTTCAGTGTGTGGGAGACTTTAACAGCTCAGTCATGATTAGCTTATCAGAGAGAAGATTGAGATGTGACTTGATTAGTGTGTAAGTACCTTCCTAGGGAGACTATACGAGATATTAAAGGGTTCTGTAATCTAGCTGAGAAAGGCAAAACACAAAGCAAGAAACTGAAGTCTGTCAAATACCCCTAACACACAGAAGCAAATCTTGGGCAGAGAGAATGATTCACTGCTGGCACAAACGACCAAGGGTGTTTATATATGTGGTCCAGGGTGGAGAAAGGGGGGCACTTTAACTAGAGCAGAGCAGCTCTAATAAAGCGCCTGGAGCATCTTGTGTCAGCATCCTCGCACTGAAAAATGGCGGTAGAGGCACTTTAACTGAAGCTGGAATGAGCTTTAGTTAAAGGGCCGTGCCACCATTTTTCAGCACAGGGACACTAATACATGAGATGCTGGATGCTGCTGGAGCGCGGTAATTTCCATGCATAATTACCACGATTGAGTCTGCACCAACGCACTGTAATTACAGTGCATCAGAGCAGCCTCACTGCACGTGTGTAGGCACCCCAAGAAAAGTAGCAGGATCTATCTTTTGGAGCCTTTGGACCAAGCTTGGATGTCTTTGTGGGAGAGGTGTCAAGCACAAGTTACTGGAGTCCATAGGGGGTAGCGAGGTGAAAGGGAAGTGGGCAGTCATATGCAGGAAGTTGGACTGGCTGCTGTAATGGCCTTGAACTGTTTTTTCAGTGAAAGAGAAGAAAATAGTATTTTCAGATAGTTTCACTTGGCCTTAAGCAACACTTGTATCTCACTGGTGGTTTCATCCCCTCTCCTGTCCAGGTGGCTGAGGTTCTCCTAACTTAAGAGAAGGCGGGGGGGAGGGGTGGAAGAAAAGCAGCTTTTTTTAAAGCAAGCAATGAGACTATAAAAGTGACGGCAAGACACAGAAGAAACTGCATTCCTCTCACTCTCTCTCTGGTTTTTGTTTTGTTTTTTTGCAGTCTGGATTTCAAGTTAACTCTGTCTCTTTAGAAAAAAGCTACTTTAAAAATTGTGGGTTTGTTTTGTCGTCTTTTTTCAAGGGTTATTAAACCCACTATTGCAAGGAAGGGCACAGAGGTAGCTCTGCCCCTTCCCAACCTCTCTTGCAAACCAGGTCTGCCTGGGCTAATGGTGCAGGGCCAGCACAGCTTTGTAAGCATGACACAGCACTCCCGCCTCCTTTGGCTGCAGGCACCGACAGGCTTGTCAAAGCTGCCTGCACGCAGCCAAAGCACAGAGGGGCAGCCACAGTATCCAGCCTATTCAGGGCGGGGTTTTAATGTAAACCTACCTCCGTGATCATAGTGGTGGGCCCTCACTTTGCAGCTGGGGATGGCAGGGGGAGAAGGCTGCTGTGCAAAGCAGGGTGCCTTTGATTGCCAGGAACTTGCACAGTGAGATCACTGAGCTGGTCCCTCCCTGCTCTTAAAGGAGCAGCTTAAGAGAGAGCCTGGTTAGCCTGAAGGCATTCTCAAGCATGGTGCCATGGTGCCCTAGGGTGCCTTGAGCTCCTTACAAGGGTGCTGCAGGGTTGCCAGGCAGTGTTAGCTCTGTGTAGCTTGCAAACATGATTCACAAGAGAAACCCAGTGATTTCCCATAGGAATTCGTCATTGGAGTCTGGCTGAATTCTTTGCAGCAGGAAAACTACTCTATTTTTATTTAGGCACAAAAAATGGAGAAAGAAAATACAGAGAACATTGGAACATTCGGACAAAACCAGATCTTACCTGGTGGAAGGGCAACTCCATTAAAATGCCGATAAGAAAAGTACTTGACAAGTTTTCATTATCTCAGCATAGACCCTCGCTTATCAGCATGGACAATATGATTTTTCAGGCCAAATCATCCAGACCAGCTCCAAGATGGAACTGTCAGAAGGCGGTTTCACAGAAGTACCAAAGCCTGACCATCAAGAGAGCAAACCAATTAGAGGATCCATCAGAAACCAACAACTGATCAAGGCTACACTACATTTACAAGCCGCCTAATTGAAATACCCAAACTCTGTATATCTAGAAGCTATAAAAGTCATTATATGCCATGATGAGATGAGCATTATGAACAGCTCTTTAGCATCATCAAGCAATGCAATGGCCCTGCGACTGTAAAAAGAACTATAGAGCAGCTGGCTACTACACTGAACAACATCAAAAAGGAGAAATGGCTGCTACCATAGAAGGAATGCATATTACCTATCCAAGCAGACAAGCTTAGTGCATTCTTAACCATCTTAGACGCAAAGACACCAAAAAGAACATTGCCTTGTGTCAGCAAACTACATCATGTGCAACAACAGCAAGTACAGTAACCCAACCAAGCAATATGCAGAAATAATTAAACATCTGACTTGTGAACAACTTAAATCACCCAACATTGACCTTAATTTAACCTCATCTCTGACAATGACTTCTGACATAGTTATTAAAGCAATTAAGACTGTCAGGACTGCTGACCACATAAGATAATCCCAGAATTCATTACCAAGCTTGGAACCACAATGAAAATATGGCTTCAAAAATTCATGTATAAATATCTAAAAAGTAACAGACTTTCAAAGCTGATGTCATTGCTATCCTGCAACCCAATAAACCACCGGAGGATCCAAAGAGCTAACGACCAATCTTATTAGTCTGTATTACATACGTAGCAGCACACCTTTGGGTGCTTGCCACTTTAAGAGCCTGAACACACTGCGAGGCAGCCTGCAGGTGACTGGAGAGCCAATCAGTTGGTCACATGAGAGCCAGCAGGCTGCCTGATTGGAGCAGGGCTGCAGCGCCTCAGCATAAGAGCAGGCCCTGAGGGGCAGAGCCAGCAGTTGTTGTTAGGACGCTGCTGGGGTAACATCACCAGCTTGAGATGGGCTGCTCCCAGGTACACCTGGAGGTTCAGGGTAGGAACTATGGGGGAAAAGTAGGTTCCTAAGGACCCAGAGGAGGGAGTCCCAAGCCCTAGAGAGAAGGCTTTGGGCCTAGGGAGAGCAAGGCCCAGCCTAGGAAGGGGCTTATAGCTTGTGGGCCTGTGCAGGGGCTAGGCAAGCCCCTGATTAGAACTGAGAGTGGTAGGCCAGGGGCTAAGGTGAGCCTAGTGGAGTGAAGGGTAGCCTTGTACAGCATCTCTGGGGCTCTAGACAAGCCCAAAAAGAGATGGCTGTTTATAGTGGGGCCCAGAGGGGGACCCCTGTGGAATAAGAGGGTCAGCTGTTACTGCACTGAGGCCAGGGTATCCTGACTGGTCCAGGCTGGGACCAGGGCCCAAGTGCCCGAAGGGCAAGCATGCCCACAGTGAGGGGCAGGCCAGGGCTGTGGAGAGCTATCTGTCACCCCAACTGGCCTGGAGGTGGGGCCAGAGCCTTGGATGGGAGGGACATCATGGCCAAAGGGAAGAAAGGCTCAGCTGGCCAGAAGGCTGTGATGAAGGAGACTGAAGCACAGCCTCTGAATGGGAGGCATCCAATGAGGGGTCTGGAGACTTGGGGCCAGATGAGAATAAGTCAGCAGATAGAAACTGCACTAGAGGACCCAGGAGAGAGAGCAGCCCAAGTACAACATATAGGAGCCCAAGGAAAATAAGACCAGGGCTGGTAGGCCTGCATTGATCCTGGGGGAGTGACCTAAAACTACACCCTGCTGGGGTTGGATGGTGTCGTGGGGCTGCTTATGGCAAGGCAGTTTCCAGGAAATGGAAAGGGAAGGACAAGTATGGAGCACCAGAAAGCCTCAGCAGCTGCTGCCTTGTGGGTACCCCATGGGGGGGAAAGGCTAGGGGAGCACACCCCAACAGAAAAGCACAGGGGCCTGAACCACTGAGTTAGGCCTGAGGCAGGGCCCAGGCCCATTCAATGGGTCCTGAGGCAAGGTCCAGGCACAACAATGGACACCTGAGGCCTGAGTGGGCCATAGGCCGAGTTGAGGTAGGTCAACAGATTCTTGAAGCCCAAAGGGGCATAAGGCCCAGAAGCCCCAGTGAGGGGGCAGAATTACTATGGCTGGTGGCCATGTGGAGTAGGGCCTTAGGGGGCCTCAAGCACTGCATGTGGGCTAACCAGGGTAGCCAGAGTTGAGGCCTCAGTGAGGGGACATGTGGCCAATGTAAGTCTTCAGACGGCTGAAGCCAAGTTTGGACCAGTAGCCTAGCACAGCCCAGCAATGGGGCTGAGGAGAGTTAGGAGTAATCTGGATGCCATCTATGAGGCATGGGACATGGTAAAGGTTGGAGCTGTGTATGGTGCCCTTGGCATCAGGATAGTAAATGGGCAGCCTCCCACCTAGAAACATCTATTTATTGTACAACAAATGCATGGAAGGAGAGTTAGGTGGGCAGACTGCCCTAGACAGGTGGGCAGGCCAATACTGTGACTGGCCTCAGGATGGCCCTGTACCCATTTGGCCTCATGGAGGCACTCTTTTGCTTCTTTGGAGCATGTACCTGGTGCTGGCTGCAAGGTGTGTTCCGGCGGCCTTGACATTGGGTCACGGTCACCCCGAAGGAGGCCCTGATACTTTCCTGCCATGACTTGGTCTTTTCCTTCAGTGTTGGGGCTCCTTCTTGTCACTCTTTGTGGACCAGACACTGCCCTTAGTGGGCGTTCTTGGAGCTCCACCTCCCCTACACCCCGGCCATGCACCAACCCTCAGGACGGCCCTATGTTGGATCGCCGGCTTGCCCTTCTGATGTCTTCATCTGCCTCCTCTTCTCCTCACTCGTCACCGAGCCTCTTGCTGTGCAAGACAACCATGAGACATCAGACTGTCCCAGCCAAAGTGCCGGGTCTTCCTTCACTACGCTGCTACCTGCTGTGCTGTTCGGGCTCCTCCTGGCCTGTGGAGGCTGCCCTTGGCCCCTCTCCCTGCTTCAGGGCCCTGCAAAAATAATTTAAGAAGGAAGAAAAAGGAACAGTTGGGGTGTGGGGCCTCAGCCCACCACACTCATAGGTCCAGTATCCGTGGCTCCAAGGTCCCTCAATGCTGTCCTCCTTGCCCCGCCACCCTGCCAGGCCAGCATGATGCCTCCTTCAATAAATCCTGGACCCCTCTGTCAGGTCCCTGTCCATATCCTTCCTGAGCTGCCAGCATGGCCTGTGTGCAGCCCGGGGAGCAGCCTTGCCTTTGGATCCCGGTGATGCTGCCCTTCTTTCCATTTCCCTACAGTCAGCTTTTAAATCAGATGGGCGGTGATTTTTGATGATGTTATCGGCTGGCACCATTCCCAGCCAGCAATAAAAATGGCTGATGAAGCACACGGGCAGTTCATCTTGGCACAGCTCATCCAGCTCAATTTTTCCTAAAAAAGGTAAGTATGCCCTGCCTTCATGGCTTTTCTCTTTCTTCTCTAGGCGGGTCGACACTGCCTCAGGTCCTGCCACAGAAGGATGCTCCAGGGCCTCTGCTTGTCTCTCCCTGGAACAGCCCCCCGTCACAACATACAAACTCATAGAGTTCATAATCATGAATAGAATATCATAGAATCATAGAAATTAAGGGCTGGAAGGGACCTCGAAAAATCATCAAGCCCAACCCCCCTGCTCTGGGCAGGAATACTGCTGAGATCAAATGATCCCAGGAAGGTGTCTGTCCAGTCTCCTCTTGAAGACTTCCAAGGTTGGGGCTGCACCACTTCTTGGGAAGTCCATTCCAGATTCTGTTCACCCTTATCATAAAGAAGTTCTTCGTTACATCCAACCTGAAACCATCCTTGAACAGTTTATGGCCATTGTTCTTTGTCCTCCCCTGGGGTGCTTTAGCAAACAGTTTTTCTCCCAGTTCCTGATATTCACCCCTTACATATTTATAGACAGCCACTAAGTCCCCCCTCAATCTTCTCTTCTCCAGGCTGAACAGTCCCATATCCATTATAAGGATTGTCCTTCAGGCCCTTCTCTGGACCCTTTCAAGATTCTCTATGTCTGTTTTGAAATGTGGTGCCCAGAACTGGACACAGTACTCCAGCTGGGGTCTCACCAGCGCCAAGTAGAGAAAAAATACAGAGTGTCTTTGATCATCAGCTCCCAAAAGAGCAAACTGGCTTTTGGAAGAAGCGGTGTACCACTCACCAAGTTACATTACTTACATCTGACATAGAAAATGGATTTGAAAGGAGGCAGAAAATAGGCATGGTTTTTATCGATCTTACAGCCACCTATGACACTGTATGTCACTGTTAGCAAATAAAAACCTAGGATTCCGGATTAGCCCAGGGTTTGACACAACACCTTGTTCAATGAGTGACAGGAAGGCTTTATTTACTACAAGTACTCAGAATCAAGTCAAGTGAGCCCAAACCAAATCAAAGTCCAGTAATTAGCTATAAGGTGATGATTTCTCACCAAACAGGCAATAAAGAGGTGGTCTGTTTCTCTTCAACTTTTTAAATAAGTTGGGCGCATTAGCAACTGGTGTCAGAAAGATTTCTCACTCTTGAAACACGCATGCAGCTTGCTATTTTACTGCCTTTTTATACCCTTAGTTCAGCATCTTCAAAGCATTCTTGTAGTTGTGTAAATCAAGAGAAAGTCCCAAGCAGTAATTGACAGGAAAATCCAGTTAATCAAACTGCTCATTATTGGTTATCAGAAACTTCTAATTTGAATGAGTTACCTTCTTCAGTGACAAGAGGTTATCCAGCTTGGAACATATCAAGAAACTGATTAACAACCAGGAAAAACATACATGTCCTTGGAAAACAAGGTAAATCATGAGAGAAGAACAAAAACAAAACTAAATCAGGAGGAGACACCTATCACATATGGAAAATGCCTCTTCCTGCACATAAATACGAGTTAATCACAAAAATAAATATTTACCATACTAATTAATCAAGGATAGATATTTCACATGATTACACACCAGACAACTAGGAGCCTGCCTGAAATCATCCTGAATATAACAAGATAAGCTAGAAAGATACCTCAGTATTTCTTCTCAGATGGCCCAGCCATGAACTCGCACCCTCTTGCATTATGCAGTTAGCATCAGTATTCTGTATTTTAACTTTTGTGAGTAGGCCTGAGCTTACCATGAGTTTCAGAGTCATCAGTCACCAAGGCCTCAAATATAAACTGCACTCTCTGGTACCTGACCACAAGATATGCACTTTCATCATGAACATAATCTCCAGCGGATCATTAAAACTACCAGCCAAGGAGAAAAAACAGACTATGAACTCTGAAGAGTAGTGTCCCCCAAGTCTTCAGTGCCAGCACTAATATTTTCCAATGCATATACCTCAGACTTCATACATACAACATCTAAGTGATACATGTACAATGATGATGTTGCCATAGTATCCCAAGGAATAGATATGACAGAACTAGAAGCGATACTGAGTACTGACATGGAAATCATTGCTGACTATCTCAACAAGTGACACTTAAAGTTGAGTTTCACTAAATTGGTATCATCACTTTTCCACCTGGACAATTGTCAAACCAAAAGCACACTTAATATCAGAGTTGGCAACAAAATCCTTCTCTATGAGCATAGCCCAAACTACCTAGGAGTCACATCTGTAAACATCATCTATAAACATCACATTTAGAAGGTCAACAGGAAAATCTCTGCATGGCTAGCTGCCTTAAGTTAAGCATGACATGGGATGCTAACTTCA